GCAATAATCAATACGGCTAAAGATAAACGCATGGATGAGTTTCTCTAGATCATGCTGAGACATAATTCCTCCAATCCTGGTAGAGTGCAGGTTTTGATGTCTAATGTTTTTTTTTTTATCTCTTTATGAAAAGAAGTTTTAAAGGTTTGAGTCCTTGTCAAATGAATATTTTCCCCAGTTAAATTAAAATTCATTGCAATTCATGCAATTAAAATTCATGCCAAGTTAAGGTGGAACAGTTGGGCTCTGTGGACTGCTGCAGTATATATATATAAACATTTCCCAATTTAATATGTTTCCTACTAAACAGGAAAAAAAGACCATCAGTATCATCAGTATAATAATTTATTACTTAAAAATTGTATTAAAAGTTTCAATAATTTTTCTAAAATTCAATCCATATCAATACATTTTCTAAGCAGAAAAGCCATTAAAACCATGTCAAATAAATACATCCATTTGCCCAAATCATTGAAATAAAATAAGTACAAAGGATAAATGCACAATAAAGAAGCCAAAATTTTACAAGTCTAAATCTGAAAGTAGTCAAACCTGCAATTACTCCACTTCCAAACAGCAGGTTACTAAGAATCTTACTTGAGGTTCACATTGTGCCATCAAACCTGCGAGTTCTCATGTGAACGGTTACATTTGTTTTGAGTGAAACCTTTTCTACAGGACCTACAACAGAAAGGTTTCTAACCTGTGTGAATCTTCTTGGGATGAAGTAAACTGGATCTACACAAAACATTTTCCTCGCTTGTCACTAAGGGTGCACCGATTGCAGTTTTCATTTTGGGGCGCTCCAATAGTCACACCTCTCATTGGAGACCAGAAGAGAGCAGTGACTGAGGTCAATAAAATTGGGGGATCAGATCAGCTTCACATGCAAGAATCAGCTGATGTCCCAAAATTAAGAAAATCAACATAAATCAGCTGGCTTATAAATCAGTGCACCGCTACTTCTCACATGTGTGAATTCTGATGTGAGAAGTTAAAGAATATTTTTGAACAAAACTTTTTCCACAGATCCCACATGAGAAAAACTTCTCACTTGTATGAGTCTTCATGTGAAAATGCAAAAGGCGTTTTCTAGCAAAACATTTTCCACAGGTCCCACATGAGAAAGTTTTCTCACCTTTGTGAATTCTCATGTGAACAGTTAAGCTATATTTAGAAGTTAAACTTTTTCCACAGATCTCACATGAGAAAGGCTTCTCACCTGTGTGAGTCATCATGTGAACAGTTAAGCTATATTTAGAAGTTAAACTTTTTCCACAGATCTCACATGAGAAAGGTTTCTCACCTGTGTGAGTTCTCATGTGAGTAATTAAATCTTTTTTGTAAGAGAATCTTTTTCCACAGGTCCCACATGAGTAAGGTTTCTCACCAGTGTGAACTTTCATGTGAACAGTTAAACTTCTTTTAAGAGTGAAACATTTTCCACATGTTCCACATGAGAACGGCTTCTCACCTGTGTGAGTCATCATGTGAGTAGTTAAGCTATATTTATAAGTTACATTTTTTCCACAGATCTCGCATGAGAAAGGCTTCTCACCAGTGTGAGTTCTTATGTGAACATTTAAACTGTTTTTCAAAGAGAAACTTTTTCCACAGGTTTCACATGAGAAAGGTTTCTCACCTGTGTGAGTTCTCATGTGGTCAACTAACTTAGATTTATTCAAGTAATTTCTTCCACAGGTACCACAAGAGATAGTCTTCTCACCCATGTGAACTCTCATATGAGCAGTTAAACTTTTTTTGTGAGTGAAACTTGTTCCACAGGACCCACATGAGAAAGGTTTCTCACCAGTGTGAATCGTCATGTGAAGATTTAAATTTTTTTCATCAGACAAACTTTTTCCACAGGTCCCACATGAGTAAGGTTTCTCACCAGTGTGAATTCTCATGTGAACATTTAAACTTTTTTTACAAGCGAAACTTTTTCCACAGGTCCCACATGAGAAAGGTTTCTCACCTGTGTGAGTTCTCATGTGATAAATCAAAGTACTCTTGTGAGGGTAATGTTTTCCACAGGTTGAACATGTGAAAGGTTTCTTAGCTGTGCGAGTTGTCATGTGTGTTGTCAAGGTATTATTTCGAGAAAAGATTTTGTCACAAATTTTACAAGAATATAGTTTTTGGTTTGGGTGAGCTTTCTTGTGCTTTTTTTGTTTTGAAGTCTCAGTTTTGCCTTTCTGTTTGTTCACCAACATGTCATCAGTCTCCTGTTTCAGCACAAGCTCTACTTTATCCTGACTGATGCAGAGTTGCTTCTCTTCCTCTTTGAACTGTTGATGTTCTGGTTCCTCTTGCTCCCGTTTTATCTGCAGAGGTTCTGGTTCCTCTTGCTCCCGTTTTATCTGCAGAGGTTCTGGTTCCTCTGGCTCCCGTTTTATCTGCAGAGGTTCTGGTTCCTCTGGCTCCCGCTTCGTCTGCAGAGGTTCTGGTTCCTCTTGCTCCCGCTTCATCTGCAGAGGTTCTGGTTCCTCCTGCTCCCGTTTCATCTGCAGAGGTTCTGGCTCCTCCTGCTCCCGTTTCATCTGCAGAGGTTCTGGCTCCTCTTGCTCCCGTTTCATCTGCAGAGGTTCTGGCTCCTCCTGATGTAAAGTGGAGTTTTCCTCCTCTTTACTCATGCAGCATTGATGGAAATCTGGACAAAAAGACAAAACAAAAGCTTCAAAATGTGAGTCAATGAACCCTTCACTTTCATTAACAAAAAATAGTATAAAAACAGTCTTCAGCAAACATGTACGTGTCCACAAAAAAAATTAAATCTCTGCCATAGTTAGTCTTTCGGAGCAATTTTTATTAACCTTAGTTGGATTTTTACAACGTCTGCATGTGGTTAATAATTTTACCAGTGATAAAACTGCAGTGACATCAAGTGCGCCAACATTTGGAAATATGTCGTCTGTCTAGCCGACATTAACCCCTCTTAAGGATTTGCTTCTTGCAAACTGGGACGTTTCAGAATATTCTGTGACCACTGCACATTGTGACTGTAGGAGGCGCTGTTGCAGCTTTATAGTTTGCTTTATTTATGGACACAGAATATGATGGCGCTTATCATATAATGAGAGCACTTAGTTTACATTAGAACATTAGACTACTTTTCCTTCCCCTTTTCTTTCCTTTGGTTTGTTATTTTGTTTGTATTTCCTTTTAACTCATGTAAAGCACTTTGAATTGCCTTGTTCCTGAAAATGTGCTACATAAATAAAATTACCTTTACCTTTCAGAAATAATAGTATTACATCTTATACATTCACAGGAAAGTTTACACAGGTGGTAAAGACTATTTATATGCAATTCTTTCACTCTGTCCAAAGTAAAATAGCCCTCAAATCTTCCGTTTTTGTTTTGAAGGTTTCATAAAGACAATGTGAGGAAGGAGAGGGAGATTTCTATAAAGAGAGACTGTTTCACTGAAGCACAGATGAATCTCACATCAGATTTTGGACTCCATCTCAGCTGCTGAATCTCTGAAGCTAGAACTCGTCGGTTGGAAATTATGTGTGTGTGTGTTTGTGCATATGAACTTGCATAGCCTATATTATTCAGTATTAATCATATATTTATATGAATATGTATTGAGGTTATATATTTTTTTATTATCGTTTATGAATGTAAAATGCTCATCATACATCAATATCAGAATATTCTATTCCTATTCTAATGTTTCCCCCACTAAGCATATTCAAGTATGCTGAACCATGCATAAATACAATTCAAAAATACTTAGAAAATAAAATTCTTAGTAAATTTAGCTTTGATAGTAATTTGAATAAGATTTCTAGTAAAAAAAAAAAGTGCATTATGATTGATTAAATGCAGTGATACTTTATTGTGCCTGTCAAACGCATAACGCTGAGTGGAGTGGTCGACCACTCCAACATGGCCACCCTTAATTTCGTCAGCTACAATAGGAGAGAGCGGCCCATGTATGAGGTTCCATTTTTGTCAAAATGAAGAAATCATACGTTTAGATGTCATATGTCCATGTTGAATATGTCGTTCATTTCCTTGGTCCGTGTTGCTATTGCCTGTTCTCTTCACCATTATAAAGTCTTGAAGTAGGTCGTGTCTGATCAAAGGGTTTATTAGATATTACAAAAACGGCCTTCCGTTTTTTAATTTCTTTTGAAATTTGTGATACATCTTCATTTTTAAGAAGGATTTTCACACTCGGTATGTTTTTGAACTTCTCTCTTATTTTCTTCTGTGCAGCTCACAATTCTTTTATTTTTTGAAAAATTCTGTAGTTTTTTTCGTACTTCATATCTGCTCCTTAGTCGCATCTTTTCGGTGTCTACTGCTGCCTCTAGTGGCGTGGGGGTGGTAACACAAATAATCCAATTACATTACTAATTCAGAATACCACAAAGTCTTTATTATTAATTCTGGCATTACTGGAAGAGTAAAGAATAAATCCCCTCACAAAAGAACATACCTTTTCATTTTCCTAAGGAAGCAGAGTTAATTAAACGAAATAAACAAGAACTGAAAGTGCTTCCAGTTTTCTTGATGGCAAACTTGTTGAACTGTGGCAAAGTTGAAATTCCTTGTGTCATTCCTGGACAGTCAGCTCAACTTTGCTGAAAACACTGACTATACATTTAAGAACTGTTCTCAGAGACTCTACATTTTTAAGAAGACTATTATAACTTGAGTTTTAAATAATCTCAAGTTAAAACAACATTTTAACTCCAGTTTTAACTTTTCATCTCCTCAGTTGGTTTGGTCACATGAGCTGCAGACCAACAATCTTAAGAATAATTTGAATGGCAGGTATAACAGCAGGTAAATAATGGTGAAACCAAAAACGACTGTCTCAACTGTTTGCTGAAAGAACATGGAAGATAGCAAGAAACATTTCAGCAGAGAGTCGACCGTCTTTATTCATCAGTTTGAGCCTCTGAGTTTATGAAAGTGTTACTGTGTTCCTATGGCAACCAAGAACATCTTTTAGAAGTTATTTATTAATGGTTCAATAATTATTCTTAACCAAACTAAACATTTACTTATAGTGTGCCAAGTGTTTTTGCTCTATTCACAAACTGTTGATAATGTGATTCTATGAACATGATTTATCATTTTAGAGTCAAAGGAAAATTTCCACCTTTTATAGATTAAATTGCGTTCATCTTATTTTTTCTTGTATAACTCTACCAACAAAGAGTATCTCAGAATAATAAACATGGCATCAAAAAAAACATTTTTTTTCTAGTATCCGTTTAACAACCCTGGTTATTTTTCTGTTCTTAATTCATTTGTTTTTTGACTTTTGCTCAATTAAATTTCTTGCATGTACATTGCAAATTGTAGTTTTATTATAGTTGATCATGTTGTTTTTCATGTCTCCTTATTTTCTTTGTTCCTCCTATTATTTATGGAGATATTAAGATAATATTTATAATGTATAAAAGTATTGTTTGACATTTAATTAGCTCTATGTCCTTCAGAAAATGAAGAATATGTTGTTTGATAAGAATTTAGATTTTATCCTTTACTGACAAAATATAATTTATCTTATGGCAAAAGATTAATTGTCTTTTGTCTTTTGCCATAATGCCGAAATTAATAGTAAAAACGTTGTGGGAAAAAAATACGTCGTGGTATTCTGATTTAGTAATTATATTAATTGTCACCACCCCACGCCACTAGAGGCAGTAGCAGGCCCGAATCTATACGACTAAGAAGCAGATTTAGAAGTACACCGAAAACTACAGAATTTGTTAAAAAAATTAGTTGCGTTGAAGTAAATGAGAGAAGTTGAAATACTTTCTGAAACTCCTTAAGGTGAAGATATTACAGATTTTAAAAAAATAAAAACAGAAGGCTGCGCATAGCACCCATCAACCTCGTTAGCTGCCCTGACTAATGGATAAAGACACTAGGAGGTAGAAATCTAAGTATTTTGAAACCACTTTTAATGAAACCACAGATATTGAAAGACCAACATTTTTGTAAAATCTAATAAACCCCTTGATCAGACATGACCTACTTCAAGACTTTTTAATTGCGAAGAGAACAGGCAATAGCAACACGGGCCAAGGACATGAACCCCAACACAGAAATATACATCAGACATATGCATACGTAGATGTTCTACATATGCATCATCTACATGCAACATAGAGCAACGACATAGACCAACTATATCTATTTATTTTTGACACAAATGGAACCTCATATCCAGGAGGCGTCTATTCTTTTATTATGTCTATGGGCTCATCAGTAAAACCTGAAGGTGTTTCGTACCTATTCGGTGTAAGACGATCTTTGGTATCCGGGTGAAATCCAGCGGTCTGCGCTGTTCCTCCGTCTCTTCCTCGATCTTGACGTTGATTTCTTTCAACTCTGTGAATGTTTCTTCAGCAGGAGTTTCCTGCTCGTTGATAAACTCTCTCTGAGGCTGAACTGAAGACATTTTTATTAAAAACACTCACATATTTAGCTAAACTTCAAACCCGTTTTCACACAACCGTCTAACAAAAGAAAAGCTGAGAGTATCCCGTGTCCTCTGTTTTTATCTTTTGTGTTTCACTTCAGTGGCTGTACTGAAGAAACTGGAAATTATTTTTAGTTCCGCTTTGAATTTTCTGCTTTTATTGATGGGTTTATTGTTAGTGGAAATTTAGAAAATAGTTTAATTTATATGTGTAACCTGGGGTTGTGACTCTTGTTGTATGGTGGTAAAACATAATGCTGCTTGATAACTCAAGACCAAGTACAATCAGGGAGGGAGAGTTTAGTGAGAACCACAGGTGTCAAACTCCAGTCCTCAAGGGCCGCTGTCCTCCAGTTTTTAGATGTGCCAGAGGTTCAAAACGCTGGAATGAAATGGTTTAATTACCTCCTCCTTGTGTAGATCGGTTCTCCAGAGCCTTAATGACCTGATTATTCTATTCAGGTGTGGTGCAGCAGAGGCTCATCTAAAAGTTGCAGGACACCGGCCCTTGAGGACTGGAGTTTGGTAACCCTGGCAACAGATCAGTCTGAAAAAAACAAAACAAACAAACAAACAAACAAAACAATAAAAACACTGATAATATTGTTTTGTTGTTCTTGCAATATTTAATAAAGTGCT